CGGTTACTTCGGAACATCGGGAATATTTTGGGTCGGATATACCCCCGTCACGCCCTCAGTGCTACTAGATTCACCTATCCAATGCCCGCAACAAAAATTGCAACAATTTTTACAAGGGTGACTGCAGACGATAAACCCGCACCCTCAGATTAGCAAAGCGGAGTTTACGTCTGCATTTGCGGACTATGGTAACTACTACTACTAAGTACTACTACTAGTACTACTATCTGATAGTGATATGGTTAGGGTTAGGGAGTAGGCGTAGGCGACTCCCTAGACTCGTTAGTCACTTAGTGGAGTAGGCGAGGTACGGTCCAGCATATTAGATAGTACCAGGGTACGTTCCGGTATACCGGACCGTACCCATGGTACGTTCCGGCAGTACCCTGGGTAGAACAATAAATTGTGCCCTAAAAATTTTTATATTCTGATGTTATTTTAGGGCCCAATTAATAGCCTTCCATAGACAAAACCTGTGAATTCTGTCATGCAAAATGCACGACAACCTTTTCACTATTTACGGCCGTGTTACATAGAAAATCAAAGAAATGCATAAAGCAGTAGCATTTCTTTAAACTCATTTTGCATGACAGAATTCACAGGTTTTGTCTATGGAAGGCTATTGGGCCCTAAAATAACATCAGAATATAAAAATTTTAGGGCACAATTTATTGGTCTATACCCTGGGTGACATAGACCCTCTCATCCTAACTAGCTCAACCGACCCACCGACAGCGTCGCACGGACGAACACACAGCTAGTGCCTGCATACCTCCCAAAGTGACGCGTCGTCGACCGACCAATCGGAGCGCTCGCAGCTCAGGCACTAAAGCTGATAAATATAAAGCTAAACCCTAACCCTTACCAGTAACTATCCACTCACGATAGCCAGCTTAAATAATGCAACCACGAAACATTGCATCAGCTTTAGTGCCTGAGCTGCAAGCGCTCCGATTAGTCGGTCGGCGACGCGTCACTTTGGGAGGAGCTGCGAGCGCTCTGATTTGTCGGTCACTTTGGGAGGTATGGAGGTCCTAGCCGCGAGTCACGCACGGGGTGTAGGACGAGAAGCTAGTTGTTGATTGCCGGGCTATATATTTTGCATTTCGAAAACTAAAACGTAGCACATTGTTAGATCAGTGTCACTACCCATAGCAGTAGCAGTAATCTTGCTCTACCAGTCAGTCGTGACTGTATTTACAGTATCACTTGGTGTGTAGCCTCCGCTACCACATGCGTCTAAACAGAGGAATTGCTCCGACCTGTGATTGGAGGATAAAAATAGACCCCGCCCACTTCTGCCGCATACGCTATTATGCTATGACCGGTAGGAACGAGTACTAACTATCATATGGAGCGAACGATCTGAGTTGTACATATCTATAAATTCTAGCTATTATAGACACATGTCTTAGCTTTAATCTCTGTGAATTTTGAGTCTATTGAAGCGCGATTAGTCTAATTAATTAGCAAATATGCACGCGCGGCTATTACCGGTGAAACGAAACGTCACGAATTCTATTTTTATCCTCCAATCACAAGTCGGAGCAATTCCTCTGTTTAGTCGCATGTTCCGCTACCTTGCGCTGCACTGCAGTGGCAGTGCAGGGACCCACCCCCTGAACGGCTATTATGAATGAGAGCTGGGGTTTCCCACTGGTTACCATGTCCACCTCTCACTGCAAATGTATGGAGTTGAGACCCTGATAATAAATCTACAAATCACACACATGTGCGTGCACACACACGCACACGCACACGCACACGCACACACTACTGTCATCTATCACTAGATATTAAACCCATGCGTTTATATTAGGTAGGGACAGGTTACTGTGATCACGTTAGTTTTATTGATAGCACGTTGGAATCTGCATGTGGTCATCTATGATCTACAGCTCACAAATGGCTGCTGAATTATAATTATCGGAGCTAATTGTATACATGTCATAGTGTCTCAGGTCCCTCTCTGCACAGGCGCGGATTTAGGCCGGTTTGCACCGGTTTCCAGAAACCGGTCACAGGCTAGGTATCTTCGGAATTGACCCTCAAAATTCTCCAGAATGCACCAAATATAGCCTCTTTTTTTTAATTCCCGGGGGGGCATGCCCCCGGCCCCCCCTAGCTGTGACTAGAACTATGGAAATTGGTCACCCAAACCCTCTGGATCCGCCCCTGCTGCATATTGCATGCGACATGAGCAATGACTGAACATTGTGCTTTTAGAAACAAAGTTGCAAGGTCAATTGGATTGTGAAATGTGAATATGAATGCTTTTTGTGAATTATCCAGTGCATTCTACTCCACAACTTTGAGTCACGTGATAGTACCTTTTGGTTTTTGCGAGAAGTATATAGTTTTCTATCAGTAGGAAAAAAATATTGAAAAGAGGAAATCTTATGTCAAGGAAAGGATGAACACCATAATTTAATCCTTGATCAATTTAATTACCGATTTTCGGAGTAGATAAGCGGTTTGATCTGATGACAACGGAGTTTTATCATTTAAAACATTTCGACATTTTCTCTGCGTTTATTTCAGCCGGTGCTATCAGGTGCCAATACTGCTCGTCGTTCATAGATGGCATTAGCTGTCACACAGACACGTTCGATAAGGAGTCCGACCAGTTTGTCGTTGACTGCGACAACAAGACACTTCAGGATCACCAGTCGTGGAACACTGTCTTCAACAAGACAACAGGATTCACCATGTGCAGGAAGATGACCATCGACAGTGAGTGTGCTGGCAGTTTATGAACGGGCAGAAATTTGTGTTTGCTGGAAGAGCTGAAGCGTTGACGGCAGAAGCTCGCGTCGTGCAACTGGTGCCGCGATTGTGTCAGACATTGCGTACAGTTGTCAGGCCGCATCTTGCATTCTAAAAACGATTGTGGTGGGTTTTGACTTTCGGTGATTATTGCCAAACAATAGAGCTCTAGGATGGTACGCTTGTAGGCAACAGCAAGCGTTATCGCTAGTGCTTTTTCACCGTTGTTTGATTTTATTCTGGAATGATACTATATACTTACTGTTAAATAGTATTTATATATGAACATGTTTTTCTCCTTCAGTCAACAAAGAGGCATTAAATTAGGGTTCTTTCAGCAAGGTATAATAGCAGTATGTCAGTTGTTTCTAGAGGTGAATGATATGTTCGTGTACACCAGTAAGATTTGAACTTTGCTCGTTAATAATTAACAAAGTTAATTAAACCATTAACGTGTTTGCAGGTGACGAAGGCCTACGAACGTTCAGGGACTGCGCATTTGAGGAGAAATACAACGAGCGGAATTTCTGGTACGGCACTCTACTTTTGCGCAAATCGCTCGAATTTTATGCAGAACACGCGCCAGAGAAGTTCTGTGTGCAGATGCGTGCGTGGGGCATAGAATAGGCAAATAATTTCACTAGCCTAAAGCCATTCTATATTGTACAAATCACGTAGCAAATAATCAGCGATGTCATAATATGATTGATGACAATAAATCTATGCTAGCCATTGCATGATTAGAATACAGCAAAACAAACCATAGTTATCTTTTTGGGTTTGTCTTTCTGTGAAATAAATTACCAGTGATCTCTAACGAAAGTCGCGGAATAAAAAAAAAACATTACTGCAATAGAGAGCTCACATACATACTGATCATTTATCTCCTGTGCCTTTTCTAGGTACATATCCTTAGGCAGTGTCAAACAAGTTGTCTACCAATGCGACGAGGAACTCTGTAATTCTGTCGGCCACTTGGCACCATGGACCGGCATCATGGCACTACTCCTGGTTGCTGTCAAAAGCTGTTTCTAGATCCAAGTGGCAGTCTGTAAAGGCAAGAGCATTTGGGTGGGTCGAGAGGGGGGCATCATGAAAAAAAAAGAAAATGGGTACCAATGGGGAAAATCATCAGCCTTTCTTATGGTACAAATCATTTACTGGCGGGGAATGCTAAAACCTGCAACCATTCACATCACTGTGCACATCTTGTCGTACTCTATCGAGGAGGAAACGTTCTGGCACAACGTATGCCTACATGGAACGTGTCACTCCAAAAACGTGGGCGATCGATCAGTGGTTAGGTAAACTTTAGCATCTGTACAGTGTCATTCGTGTTTGAGCAACAACACACGAGAGATCGCAGAAGGTTCCGCATCAGTAAACAATGGGGGATTGAAACGGGGTTGGGGGCGTTACAATTACGATATTACTCCAAAAAACCACTTGCTGCAATTGAGCGTTTTTTTAATTCATTATCTCGATAGTAAGAGCGTCATCGATGGTGTATCTGTATATATGTGCACCGTCTTTGTACACTACATACTCAGCATTATGGCAGTCAATCGTCGCATCATCTGGCATCACATTCCACCGCATGGCTTGTTCAAATTAAACTGCCGTAGTATCTCGGTTGAACATGTATGGCAATAGCAATAACACAGACGGAACTGTGAGAGCGTTTTGCGGTTTAACTATGTCGTCACGCGTAGGTGTGAGTGCGTGGCTTGCTTAGGGGGTTGCTTAACGATTTCATGATCGAGTCTGCTCGAAATGGCTTCCTGTAAAACACAAAGTAATACTCCCGTAAAACTCAAGTATCCTGCTGTGAGTTGCAGTGTAGTTGTTGCGTGGCATTTTATTTGGTCAGATCTGACCGTGAATCTCTTTATTGTTGATTATGGCTATTGGAAGTTTATTTTGCATGATTCTCGGCGATCTGTGCCGTATTGGTTTAGCACAGTTGATCGCGACTCTTTCAAATGATCATGTTTTCGGTGCAGTTGAAGAAGATATATTTGCACTTGCACAGTAGTGTTACAGGTCTTGTAATCATTGATTTTCAAAGCTGTGATTCATAATAGCTTTGAAAATTAGTGGAAATCGTGTCCGAATTTACAGATGTTGATGTTTTAGTATGGTCATTAGCATACGATTAACCAGTTTTTAAAAGTATCCATTGAAGTGTTAATTTTTCTTAATAGAATGATGTTATTACGTTTACATAGAATCTTTTTTGGTGTATCCTAGATGAAGATTTATTGTTATGATTGTGTTTGAATCTCGTAGAATGTAGTAGATCATGCGTGTAATTGTCTCTCTTTTTTACATTTGGTGTGTCATGTTATTACGAGTGTGTGGCAGCAACTTAAGATGTCACAGTTTGCTGAGCGAAGGAGCTGCTGTCATAGGAAGTAGGTTTCAGACGCTCACGAAATAAGAGCGTTGACAACCTTTCCTCGGCATCCCGATAATGTTTAGGACGAATTTTGTTGTTGTTCTCGAATGATAGCAAAATGTTTCGCGAGGGCCTGCTAACATGGTTCATGTGCACAGATGGGTTGTAGTTTCTAGGAAATTTCTTACGTGTAGAAGTGATGTAGGTTGCGTCTAGTGCCAATAGGTTGGTGTGCCAGTGCCCTCTTTAGAGAGTTATACGAACTAGGGCATCATGTGGAAGATGTGACTACAGATGAAAGTGTAGAATCTCGGAACAGAATCTCATTGCCTCGATCGTGCGCGGCTCCTTGATGTTGTTGCGTGCGATTTTTGTAATTGCGTGCTCACGATGTCATGTGGCTCGTATCGTTCTTACTTCGCGGCATGTTATCGTCGTGTGTGTGGGTGTAGACCTCAAGTAATCGCCATCGCACATCTAGTTCTGCGTTGGTCTCGGTATCTTGTTGGTCTAGGTCGGCAGGGTATGGAGACGGAAGGTGGCAAGCCAATTGCGAGGTGCGGAACCCAAAGACGAGGCGTTGGGGAAAGGGGCGGCAGTAAATTATAGTGCACATCTAAATATCTACGGCTATTACTATTACTAGTTGTGTTAATTAGAAATCTTTTAGTAATTCAGAAAAATTTTAACGCATCATGTTTTAGAAATAATAGTTTATAATAGCAACTAGTAGACGAGTGAACCCGTAATATATTGGTATATATTATAGCAATCACATGTAGATATAGTATTCCAAACTCAAGCACACACAGGCCATATTCCTATTACACTATGCAATTAATATTAGGTAATGATGATAATAACATGCGTAGGGTGTAAGTAATGCTGTTGATGTTATAAATGTGCAGGTAAATAAAACATTGGTTCTTATTTTACCGTCAAACCATTTCTTCAGTTTGTCTGTTTGCAGGGTCGCCACAGCCCTTGAAAGTCCTTGAATTTTGTCCTCTGTCATTGAAAGTCCCTAATTTTTCATTTTGTCATTGAAAGTTCTTGGAAATAGGTCCAAGTCTTTATTTTATGTCTAATGTCCTGGAATTTTACATTTTTTACCTAAAATAAAAAGCAAATCTTCATTGCTGGTTATCTGACTGACCCTATTCCAAGTCTTCGTTAAAAAATGTTAAATTTAATCAAAAATTCACATGTCATTGTCTACTAATGTACTCTACCAAAGTAGTTTGTTTTGTCCCTAATTTTTACATGCGGGTGGTGTAGGGGTCTCGACTATAAGTTCATCATTTTAATATATATTTATTACTCAGTGTTCATATTTTGCTACATAATTGTGTCAATTTGTGTGTAATTTGTGTGTAGGAAAATACACACTGAGTAATAAATAAAAAACATTTATAATAGTCAGCATGTAGTTAAGATCCCTGCCCATGCCACCCATGATTAAAAAGTGAAGGAAAACAAACTAGTTTTAGCAGATACTGTTCTGTGAATTTTGGATTAAATTTAATATTATTTGTTATTATTTGTAAAGATTTGGGACAAGGAGAATATGGCCCTTAATGGTTTCTTCCATGGGTTGGAGGCTGAATAAGATGAATTAATCTTTAATTTCACCAGCTCAAGTACTATTAGCAAAAAATATAGAGTAAGGATTGCTTTCATTAAATTAGTGTGTAAAACAACTATTTTTACTTTATATAATGAATCTAAGGTATATATATATATATGATACTCGCTTTTATATATAGCGCCCGAGAAAGAGAGAAAAATTTCGAGAGAGAGTGTATGTGTGCGTGCGTGCGTGCGTGAAGAGAAATACTGCGAGAGGGAGGCAGAGGGAGAGAGAGAAAGGGGGGGGTGAGAGTCGCGGAGAGGGAGAGGGTGAGCGGCATCCTTGCCTGTGTGTATGCCGTTTGTGCCGTACGTGCGTTTGTCTGCGCGTGTGTACGGCGCATACGTGTGCACATCTCCGTCTGCATTCTTCCCTCTCTCCTTTCTCTCTTCTTCTTTCCCTCAGTATTTCCCTCCCCCTCTCGCGGATAGTATCGCCCACGGCATCAGTTGTACAGTGAAAAGTTAGCCTGGCAAATGGCTGGTTTTCAGCCTCAACTTTTTCACACTCCAAAGCACAAAATATGATTATACGGCTATAATACGCGTTTTTACAGTCACACAAACACACATACACACACATTAACGGACGCGCACACGCGGGTATGGTAGCACGCACGCGTGCGCATGTATTATAGGCGTAAATTCACATTTTGTGTCTCGGGGAGTGAAAAAGTTTCGGCTGAAATACGGCCATTTACCTGCAAATGTTTTTCCATGCTTGACTGGTCATGGGTGATACCATCCGCGAGAGGGGAGTAAGGAATAAGTGATTACTTTTATTAATATTAACCGTTAATGTTACTGCCTGACACAGTAGATGAAAGATCAGCAGAAAGATCTGGCAACGGTTTAATAATATTATTAAATCTTTATTACATGTAATTCGATCAACTACAAATACATGTACTGAAGACGGTATTTTTCATGGAGAAAAAATCTGATAAATGCAATAGTGTCGAACAGTTAAAATAATAAAATTTCTGAGTAATACAGTGCATTGTGTGATACATAGTTCTGAGTGATACATGTTACATCAAAGCTTTACATATTGTTACAGGACTGTCACATGAATCTCCGTGAATGACAATATGAAACGACTATTGTGTGCATCGGTAATCGGCGAGCTATAGCGGCTGTTTAATCTGCTGTCGGCACTCATGTAAAACAACCATTTTTACTTTATATATTAATCTAATGTATAATATATGACTCTAAAAAGCTATAACTACTTGTCACAGATTGTCCTTGAAAAAAACATGTCCTTGAAATGTCATTGAAGTTATTGAAAAAATAATTCACGCTTTTGTGGGAACTATGGTTTGACTTTGTGCGTTTTTCAATCTCAAAATGATATTACGCAAAAAGTTTTAAGATCATTTTCGTATATCATAATTTTGAACTGGGATGATTGAATTTTCATAATTCATGCGAGTAATTTATGAGAGCCAGCTTCACTTAACATTACAAGGTCCATATAGCATGCCAGCAACCAGTAGGAGCAGATGAATACACAAATGAAGTCAGGGCAGAGGATATGACAAGGGATTTTACCTCTCAAGAAAACTTTTTGGACACACTTTCACCGAAGATCATGCACATTCTGCAGTGCCAGTGAGCAATACCAAACACGAAAAACAAATAAAAATATTTGTTAGATCGAAATACAGTAACAAATTTGATATGATGTTTATTTTAATAATAATATCGTGACAAAATAAATTGCTTCGTGTATTAAGTAAAAAATACATTTGTTACACAACTTGAGAGTGCTTGCACAACTGCAAGAACCTTGCAAAATGCACATCTCACTATCCTAATAAACAATAATTAGCTTCACAGATTTAAGCCTAAACAAAATCACAGCCAGGCTATCAGCTTGGCTAATAAATGCTGTGCAGTCAAACTTGTATTATAGAACGGCCACCCAACTGCCCAAGGAAAACGGTAAAAATGTTGTCAATCTGTAGATTTGGTCTCACCATAGGTATATGCACACACGTGTTGTATATATCTATGATTTCACTGTATAATCAGTGAAAAAAATACATGGGGGCTCGGGGCGATTTAGCCCCCGAAATGCCAAAAAGAGCCCTGGAAATGCCCAAAAGAGCCCCCGTAAATTTGCATAGAGTTCAATGCAAACCAAATTTTAGAGTACTATTTTCATGCACGCGAGCTTGAAAAGTAGCCCCCTGAAAAATTAATTTTAATTTTTTCCCTACTGTATAACTGTGGGTAAACATACGCTAAAGGGAAACAACAAGTGGTCTTTAAGTACAAGAGTTCATTCGATAGAGGTGGCCACTAACACAGGTTTGTCTGTACTCTATATTGTCATTATATACTATCATCAATAGGTCAAATCGCATCTCTTTATACATATCTGCATCAATTGCTTATAATTATCTGCTCAGCTACAACTATCAAGTTACAATGATTCCACAGACCATCTCACAGTATTAATAAATTCACAGACAGTATTACAACTGCAATAGTTTGGAAGATCACATAATAGCTATAATGATACCGCATTCAATATGGCCGCTTTAATAACATAACAAACAGCATTACAGCTGCAATAATTCTACCAATCATACTTCAGCATAGCTATGATTACAGACCATATACTACACACACTTTGATTTTAAATTACCCTAACATATTTCCCATGCCAGAAATCCCCCAACCAGGAACCAAAGTCGTCACAAACACGTAGCACGAATGTAGGATTTTAATAATACCATATACCAAAAAAACCATCGTGAATACTGAAGATTTCATTCGTTAGCAACAATCTGGTTATAACTACATACGTGCTTAAAGCATTCCTATGAAATCTCACACAGGCAACCTCTTCCTCCCCAACTCAAATGAATGCTACGCGAAATCTCTTTCAGACTTGTCGACGCCGCCCGTACCGCTCTCGGTGTTGCCGCTCCGTGCCGAAACCGCTACTTTTTCTTCGGTGGCTTTGGCAGCGTTCCCATGAACTTGCAGATGATGGACAGCATTGTCTCGTCCGAGCCGCCACCGATGGATAACAGGCGGAAGTCGCGATAGGCGCGGCTCACAGACGACTCGTCGGCGTATCCCATGCCTGCGGACCAGTCAACGAGACAATACAAGATACATCACACGAACAACACACGTGCGATTCTCCCCGGGGTTGGCTCCCTCAGATTACGCGACCCAGCAGTGCATTTTACCGAGTGGCATTTAACGCATGCGGCTGTTACTGCACTGCAGTTTGAGCGAGCACAACTGATTGATCCACCTCACATCGCTCACGCACATGACGCGTTCTGGATGAGTAAGGTTATGGGCCAAGGATATGTACCCTGACAAAGGTTAAATGCAGTAACTCTTGAGCCGATGCTGCTTTAGCGTCGCCGGACCACGCCACATCAAGCCCACGAGAGCGTAACTAGATACTGACCTCCCCAGAACTGCACACAAGAGTCCGCCACCTGTCGCACTAGCCTTCCCGCCTTTAACTTTCCCATGGAGGCAAACTTCGTGACATCGTTGCCCTGGACGTACAGATCTGCAAAAATAATCGCAACAGCCAGCGTGTGAAAACACGTGCGCCACAATACTAGCCATAGGAAGCCAAAGTATAGGAAAACAAATGAACTCGCACAAGAAGGTCACACACAGCCGATGATCGCCGCACATAACCGAACCCAAACAGCGTGCAAATAACCGCCAAACGAAGCGACCCATCGACGTGTAAACTGGCATCAGGCAAACGCAACAGTTATAGTTGCGTTATAGTATATAGTAACAGATATAACATATGCGTATATAGTTATTGCGCTATAGTAACAGTTATAGTGTATGCGTATATAGTTATTGCGCTATAGTAACAGATATAACATATGTGTATATAGTTATGTCGCTACATTAAAGGCATCAGACAACTCTTCACCCCGACAAATCAACTCCGCACAGACGGATTCGCGCTTCTTACCGACAGTCCTGTAGAGCAGGGACCTGAGAAGCTCCACCTCCGTCTGTAGCTCCGCGAGCCGGAAGTGAACGGTCTGGTTGTCGAGAACCGGTGCTCCGAACACGAGACGCTGGCGCGTGTAATCGATCGTATCCTGTATGCAACGCTCCATTGGCGTGAGCGCTGAAAGACATCGCGTCATATTACATCCCCGAGCTTATGTAGGGTTGTACCAAGTGCGTATTAAATATGTAATAATACGCTACTTAATACACTCTTACTAATACTTACTAATAAAAATACTCTACTAAATACGCTCTTAATAATACACTCTTAATACGCGCTTATTACTAATAATGGGCTACTTAATATGCATACTTAATACGCTCTTGGTTGTGCCATACTATCATGATGTGGATATTCCTCGATATTTGATATAAAGCATCGCGTCTCGTTACATCAATGAACTTTGTAGGGTTGTACTACACTATTACAAATTCCTATTAAAGGCATAATTCGACCATCGATTATGCAAAGTTGACGAATGCTACAGTAACTGGCACCTTGTGTAGTTAATAAGTACATTACCTTATAGCCAAACGCGTATTAGTTTGTCCAATATCACTGCTAATTACTAAGAAATGTCTAATTGAAATCCGTAAATTTGGTAATCTGGCGACAACGCTAAATTTATTACTAACAAAATAAACATCGAGTTCGGTTCGGTGACGTCACATGTTGCTACAGGATGTTGAGCATAGAATTGTTTGTCCCGGGTAAATTGTTTGCCTAGTGTTATTATTTGCCTAGTTGCCACATATTATATGTTACTTGTAATCTCAAGAACTTCGTATATTCATTTATTCCCGAATCCCAAAGGGTAAAACCATAACGTACGGAATGCGCACTCAGACTACAAGGATCGAAATCACTGACGGCCGAGCATACGTGCGAAAATGTCCGGTGCACTATAATCTGTATGACACCGCCTCGCCGGTTGCGGCCGGTTACGGCCGGCATGGCGGTTTGTAACTGTCAACAACCGATTTCTTGGACTGCGGATTTCAATTAGACATTTCTTAGTAACCAGCAGTGATATTGGACAAACTAATACGCGTTTGGCTATAAGGTAATGTACTTATTAACTACACAAGGTGCCAGTTACTGTAGCATTCGTCAACTTTGCATAATCGATGGTCGAATTATGCCTTTAATAAGTTCAAAGTCCTAAAAACTATATATTCCTCTATGAGCTTTCACATCATCGAGCTTTTATAGGGTTGTAGGATACTATCACGATGATGTGGATATTCCTCGAAACTGATATACATCTAGGAGCTGCTCCTACCCCCTAGGTACACTGAAGCCACCTCACCCTCCCTGTCCACACATGATCATATTCAACTACAGCTACATGAAGCAGACGAGGCCATCTAGGAGCTCTTCCCTAGGTACCCCACCCCACCCTCCCTGTCCACACATGATCATATTCAACTACAGCTACATGAAGCAGACGAGGCCATCTAGGAGCTCTTCCCTAGGTACCCCACCCCACCCTCCCTGTCCACACATGACTATATTCAACTACATCTACGTGAAGCGGACGAGGTCGTATCGCAAGTCTACACTCACTTCCGGCAATGCCAAACATGCGCTCCTCCTGGAACTGTATCATCTGGAATGTGAAGCCCATGCCTTCCTCTCCGATAAGGTTCTTCTGCGGCACTCTCAAATCCTCGAAGAAAACCTGAGCCGTGTCGGAGCTGTGCATTCCCATCTTATCGATCCTCGTTGTACGGTTAACGCCTGGAATCACCGACAGCAGCAACTTCATCACCGGCATTCGAACCCGTAAATTTTCCTCGTGCAAACTCATTGATACACGGCGGACTTACAGCAGAACATTTTTATAAGCTGCTGAGCATATCAACAGCATTTTAGTTGGCTTTATCTGTTGTATTATCGTGATTATCTGTTATTATGCCTCTAAGGGTTAACAAGTTATCAGCACTGTCAGGTGCTGCCACCTATCAACAGTTCTGGTTAACTAAATAAACATGGCTGATTTCTGTTGACATTTGTCCTACTCTGTATTGTGTCTAATTAATGCCCACAAGACAAACCTCCCGACTCAAAATGGTGTCAGGCGTGGGATAACTAAGTGTAGGCGTCGTGCGCAGGAGTCTGTGTGGTGGCTAGGACTGAGTAAACAGTTAGAAACATCGCCATTGTAAATCCTGGATCCCGAGAACCAGAAAAGGTCAGATCGAATCGGAACGGATCAGCTTCGGAACTGGGATCTTGGATTACGGGATCCGCGGTAGATAGTTAGAGGCTGCAAACCTGGTGCGTTTAGCGGCACGCAGATGAGGGATTTGTTCTTGTGGACGGCACCCTCGCTGGTGTTAGCTAGGCAGCACATCCAGTCGGCCTGCAGGCCGTTCGTGATCCACATCTTACTACCGTTGATGATGTAGTCGTCTCCGTCCTTCACGGCCCGCGTCTTTATCCCTGCAATCGCGATAATACATCACACACTACGTACAAACAAGCATGCGTAGCACACTCGCAATGTTATGCCTTTGAATTCAGCTGCACTTAATCTCTCCTACTGTTCACGAACTAGCTGTAAAATATGCATAATAGGCATCAGTGTATAATATGAGGGCAGCTTGTGATGCAACACTCTCGTATACCTGACGTCACTGACACATCAATGTGAGCTGTACCCTTGACCCAACTTACTCTGAGGCTGCTTCACTTGTAGGGGCTCCAGCAAAGAGCAATAACTGTATGACAGTCCAGAAGGTGACATCCCTGACATTATAGTAACCTATGCAATCAAGGTGTGTGGAACACACAGCACGGTCTGTAACTGTCGTACCCAAACTTGGAATCTGCACAATCTCGAGATTGTGCAATGATTGTGCTGCCCAAACTGCGGATTCCCTAGTTTGGCTGACCAATCTCAAGATTGGGCAAACTGAAAACAGTCGGGGATTCAACAACAGCTCATACTCATAGCGAGTGTGTGGCGTGCGTGGTGCAAACTATTAGAGAGAGATTTAGAGATTTATCTCATATTTATCCAATTATTTATACAAAGGTGCCAAACACATTGAGGAAAGAAAGTATACGACCTTATAATTATATATATAGTTATGATATAACATTTGAAATCCTAATAATCATATGTTTGTGCAAGCTCTGTTTACCTCTGTTTGCCCAATCTCAAGATTGATTGCCCAAACTGCGGATGCGCTGAAATTCCAAGTTTGTGCAAGATTCCAAGTTTGGGCACAACATAACCACATCTACGCTGAAGTATGATCTGCAGAACTATTGTGGTAGCGATAACTGAACGCAATGGCTGTATGAAATTCCAGGAACCATACCTGACACGTCCGAGCCAGCGTGTGGTTCACTCACGCCTATGCATGCCACTAAATCCCCGGCAATGGTTGGCGCAAGAAACTCTTGTCTCAGCGCGTCAGAGCCAAACCTGTAACAAGCAAAGCTACGATCGCACGACATCCCACTTAAAGCGAATCTGGGGCATACTATACAGCACCGTACGTTTAATTGTCTCTTCACATGCACTCATTACGCTGTTGCACCTAAAGAATATTTCGCGTGCTCTGATCCAGCTATTACTTCAAATGTAACTATCTCTCTTTAACCACCTTAGGATAACGTATAGTAACAAGTGCCGCGGAGCGACAGCACTCATCTAACGTCTACTGCGGTGACTCTGTGGTGGAGTGGTGAGATTCTAGTAAACCCT